AACCGGCATTTCTAGTTCGTATTGATTGTGTTCTCACATGTATAGTCTAAAATATGATTCTTATTGTTTAAATTTATTTATTTTTTAATACAATTTTTAGGCGGATTTGGCTGCTTTATTTATGCCGCGACAACCATTAATGTCGGCTGCCGAAGCGTATCAACTCATGGCGGAATGGAACGATGATTTGGAAGGAATGGAAGCATTAGTGTTAGAAGGAAAAAAATTTGTACGCCTACCGGAGGAAGAGTTAGGACATTTTTACAGTGCAGATTGTTATGTTTTCTTATGCCGATATTGGATGGTACGTAAAATATATCATCATATCAATGCAAAGCTATCAAATTTACGATTAATTGCCATTTTGCTTTTGATTAAATCAGCCACTGGATATAACTGAAAACGAAGACGGTGAGGAGCAATACGAAGACGATTATCAGTGCACGGTGTATTTCTGGCAAGGCAGAGACGCGGGAAACATGGGATGGCTGACATTTACGTTTAGGTAAAGACTATAGATACATTTATCTAATCTGCGATTTTTACAGATTTATGTTCTACAGATTTATTCAATCTGTAATTGTCAATATAAGGTGAATCATATCTTTTTTGTTTCAGTCTGCAAAAGAAATTTAAATCACTATTCGGGGAAAACCTGGAAGTTGTAAGGACACATCAACAGCAAGAAAATCTAAAGTTCATGAGTTACTTCAAACGAAAGTTCATCATTCATCAAGGCAAACGTAAACAGCCGAAAGCTGCAGGTAGTAACAAAGTAGAGTTCTATCATCTACGAAGTAACGGCAGTGCCTTATGTACTCGGCTCATTCAAATACCGGCGGATTCGACGTTATTAAATCCTGCTTTCTGGTAAGACATATTTCATTAAGTACGTATGATTACATTCCGTTTGTAAAATATTTTATTTTTTTTTGTTTGCAGTTATCTTTTAAATGTGCCATTTAACAATTCTGATGAAGGAACTGGTATTGTGTACGCGTGGATTGGATCAAGGGCTGATCCCGAAGACGCTCGTCTAATCGGAGAAATAGCAGAGGAAATGTTCAACAATGTGAGTTATAACTGTTTTTGTGCTTAGATCTTCTCAAAGAACAGATCTTAAATTGGATTTTGTTCAACGAACTTAAACGAATTGCAAATATAAATATCTATTAAATATTTAAATACTTAACAGATATTTAAAGGGGAACCACTATTCTTAAGGTTTGAAAAAAAATCGAATTTTTTTTTTTTTACTTAAATTTATATTTTATATTGTTAAGAATATTCAATTTCAATAGTTTTAAGTCGGTCTCGTAACTGTATAATCTCGTTAGAGCTAATATCTTGCATCGCCTCATCTCGCCGCTGAATCTGCTCCAAGCGGACGTCGAGCAAATAAAGGGAATTTAAGTTTTCAAAGAAACAAGTTTTAGCAGATAGATGTTGCCACTTTTATATGGCGCAGGCATTGCAGACTAAGACACAATTCCGATTTATAATCTTATAAATAAAAAGTTCCAAAAACTTTAAACGGGTTTTTCTCAAAATGAAATTTTCGATGTACACGATAATTTTTATAATTCTTAATCGATTCACTTGAAATTTGCATAGATTACTCTCAGATGTTTAATTTAAAGAAATAAATTTATATATATATATA